TATTTTTTTTAGTAGAGACGGGGTTGCATCATGCTGGTCAGGCTGCTCTTGAACTCCTGACCTTGTGATCTGCCCACCTCAGCCTCCTGAAGTGCTGGGATTACAGGCGTGAGCCACCACGAGACCACTCTTGTGTTTTCACCACACCCTCCCTCAACTATAACCACCTAATAAAACTTAAAATTGTTCTGTAAATAGATGAGGGGGTTGTGTGTTTGTTTGTTTGTTGAGACAAGGTCTCGCTCTGTCTCCCAGGCAGGAGTGCAGTGGTGCAATCTCGGCTCACTGCAACCTCCACCTTCTGGGCTCAAGTGACCCTCCCACCTCAGCCTCCCAGCGCGTGCCACCACGCCCAGCTAATTACTGCATTTTTTGCAGAGACGGGTCTTACTTTGTTGTTGAGTCTGGTCTTAAATTTCTGGGGTCAAGCCATCCTCCTGCCTCAGCCTCTTAAAGTTGCTGGGATTATAGGCATGAGCCACAACACCTGGTCAGTACATGTACTTAAAGGGGACCTTATCTATTACTACCCTTAAATGGATAATTTGTGTCACTTTCATAGATAATAATAATGAAAATGAATAGGATAAAAACAAAACAATGTTACTAAATTAAAACTGAGTTTTAGCAAAGTATGAGGACAGTTTTGCAAACATGTTTCATATTCCCACTCAGTAGACACAAATTTTCACAAAATAACATTCTTTCTTTTCTGATATTTTCTATGTTATTCCATCTGTTTCATTTTATTTTTAAAAGCACATTAAAGCACTCAAAGGTGAGTAGAGGCCATAAGCATAAAAACAGGTCCGGGTCGAGGCTGAGTGGTGGTAGTGGGGGCTCATACTTTTCATGTTTGTACATGTTCAGATTTAATTTGCAAATTAAAAAGAGGTTAAAAAAACTAGTTTGGATTCAGTATTACAGCTCACTAAGTGGCCACACCCCATAATTGGAAAAACCGTGTGCCAACACTGTGCAGAGATTTTACCTGGCATAATCAACAGACTGAAAGCAAATTAAGAAGGAAATTGCCTCCTCACTGCAGTTGATTATCTACTGAGTGGCCACCAAGAATGTCTCCCTGCCCTGCATAGTCTGCCACCCCCACATCCAGAGGTGAAGCCTATTCCCCCGACCCTTGCATCTGGCTTGGCCCCGTGGCTGTTTTTACTACTAGAATGCACCACCCCTAGAATGCACCAGAAGCAATGTTCTGGGACTTCCGAGTTAATACCTCAAGAGGACTAGCAGCTTCTGATTGCTATCATTTGGGATTCTCCTTCTGGAAAT